CCTACTGCAGCTGCTCCACCTTCCCCTCCTCCCGCAAACCCCTCCTCCTCCTCCTCCTCCTCCTCTTCTTCTTCCTCCTACTCCTCCTACTCCTCCTCTTCCTCCTCCTCTTCCTCCTGATCTTCCTCATCATCATCATCATCATCATCATCACCACCACCACCACCACCATCATCATCATCATCATCATCATCATCACCACCACCACCACCACCACCATCATCATCATCATCATCATCATCATCATCATCATCATCATCATCATCATCATCATCATCATCACCATCGTGGTCGTGGTCGTGGTCGTGGTCGTGGTCGTCGTCGTCGTCGTCGGCGGCGGCGGCCGCGGCGGCAGCAGCAGCATCACCATCACCATCACCATCACCATCAGAATCACCACCACCACCACCATCATCATCATCATCATCATCATCATCATCATCATCATCATCATCATCATCAGCTTCACCATCACCACCACCACCACCACTTTTAGCATCATCAGCATCATCATGACCACCATCACCATCACCATCGCCACCATCACCACCACCATCATCATCATCATCATCAACACCACCATCAGCATCAGCATCAGCATCAGCAACAGCATCAGCAGCAGCATCATCACCACCACCACCATCATCACAATCACCATCAGAATAATCATTGGAAGCATCATCTACATCCTAATCAGCATCATCATCATCATCATCATCATCATCATCATCACCATCATCATAATCATCATCAGCAGCAGCATCATCATAATAACCACCACCATCAGCATCATCATCATTATCATCCTCAGCATCATCATCATCATCAGCATCATCACCGTCATCGTGATCGTCATCGTCATCAGCATCATCATCAGCAGCATCATCAGCAGTATCATCAGCATCATCATCATCATCGTCATCAGCAGCAGCATCATCATCCCCTCCTCCTCCCCAATCCCTGCCCCCATCGCCCCCCTCCTCCATCCTTTCCCCTCTCCCCTTTCCCTTCCCCCTCCCTTTCCTCACCGCTCATCCCTCCCCTGAGATCCGACGGCACGGAAAAAAACGACATCGTGAAGAATCACGACCGCAGCAATAGACCCTATCTTTCTGCCGCACCTGCGGAGCCGGACCGACCCGCGAGGGCACCCAGCCCCCAAAGCTGGGCGACAGGGGCCCAGCATGGAAAACTTGCGACGCTCGGATCCCAGGGTCAGAGAGACAAAAATCAGCGTAAACATCCACTTTCGGAGGTCCGCGCGGCTTTCTTCAGGCGGAAGACTTCCATTCGCCGACATGGTCGCAAGGAGTTCCGTCGCGCGAGGCGCTTCCATCAAAACCGAGAACAATATTGGTAGGGAGGCCATGAGCCATGAGAAGGATCAGCGGCCCCCAGTAACCCTAGCGCCCTGCCACCACGACTGGGGCACGCAACCAATCGGCGACGCCACTGGCGCACCAGGGGCGGCGCCTGAGGCGCCGCCAGGGGGGCCCAGCGCAGACCAAAGAAATCCGAGTGGACCTCCGAAAGTTTATGTCTGTGCTGACGTTTACTCCTCGATGGGGCAAGCACACGCGAACCATACCCCTGCAAGTCGGACACCTGAAGAAAACCGGCCAGAAGTCGGAACTTGACGGATGTCTGCAGCCAGTTGAACCCACCTGGAAGACCGCGGTGGTTGCTAAGGTGATAGAGGGGCTTATAAGTGGATGAAGGTGGGTTGTATCTGGCACAACCTAGCCTATACGTGGATTACTACTACCCTAAGCGACTTAAATGGGTTGGGTAACTCCAGCAAGTGGGCTCCGCCCACTTAGCCCCTCTGCCCCGCCGTAAGCCGCTTAGGCACTTGCAGCCAGCTCATAAGTGAGGTTAGGCCAGGCATGACTCACACTGGCATCAACTCAAAGCCCCCCAAACTCCCTCAGGAACCCCCGCGGTCATCCAAGAAATGGGACCTGGGGCCCCACCAGGGCCTCGCCCTGGACCAGCCGTTCGCGGAAGAGCCGTGCCACACGCAGCCCCGATAGCCAGGCGCTGCGAACTTTTCACGCAGGACGCTTGCGCTTCCGCCCGGTCGCGGGCCCTGGGCCACCACACATCGATCAGGCTCGAAAGGCGCTGCAGTCGTCCAAGCAGTGGGTGCGCATCCCAGCGTCGGTCGGACGGGCAGGGGAAGGGCTCGCAACTAGGAGGCGACCAAGGGGCCTGAGCTGGTGAGACCACGAGAAAATCGATGAAGGTGAATCCGCTCAAAATCGGTCCTTGGACCCCTCCCGAGGTCAGTCTGGTGCAGCGTTGCACCACGCATCCGCTTCTAAAGCGTAAAACTCATCCGGGCCCGAAAACGGTTCCCTGGCCCCTGGAGGCCGAAGAGAAAACCGAATATTGATATATATCTATATATATATATATATATATATATATATATATATTCCTCTTCCTATATTTTTATAAGCCCGGGCGGGGGGGAAACCCGTCACCCCCCCCCCAAAAAAAAAACGGATTCCCGGGATCTGGGGCTTTGGGACCCTCCAGACGGGCCTCGAAGCGGCCACCGGGCCTCACATGGCGTTTTGCCAAACCTTCCCAGCACACCAGGGCGATCAGGGGGGTCATCGGAGACGTCCCAGAGACCCCCAAGACAGCACAAGAGCGCTCCAAGAGTGACCGACGTGACCTCAAGATGGCCCAAGAGGCCCCCAGGACGGCCCCAAAGAGGCCTCCAAGAGCACTCCCAAGAAGGCCCCCCGAGGCACAAATCATTGATTTTCTATGGTTTTTGGTGAATTTGGGGGTTCTCCTCTTTTCGGCTTCCCGACGCTCCAAGACGGCGGTCTTCTGGGCGTCCGAAGCCGCCTGGGAGGCTCCCAAATCGCCCCACAACCATCCGAAAGGGCTTCCAGGCAGTCCAAGAGAGCCCCAAAACGGCACAACACGGGTCCAAGATGGCCCTCAGAGAGCCCCATGGCGGCCCAAGATGGCCCAAAGACACCCTCCGAAGAATTCCAAATCGTGATTCGGTCGTTCAGAGAGACCACGGTTGGAGGCAGGGTGGCCCGAGGAAGCCCCTGGACGCCCCCAGAATAAGCCCAGGTGGTCTCCAGAAGGCCTCAAGAAAGCCTGAAACAACTGTTGTGAGGCCCCTAGAGGCTCTCCAAGGAGGAGCCTCCGCAAAAAAGAGCTGAGGAGGATGGGGAGAATGCGCAGGGCATGGCGAAAATGAGGAAAAGTAAGCATGGAGGAAGGACAACGAATAACAGTATTATAGCGGCGATGCCAGAAAAGGCAACCAGGAGTTATCGCTAAATTGTCGGCTTGACCTTCTTGCTATTCCGCCTGCATACCAAACTTCAAGGACCAAGGTGCATGGCGCGAAGCGACACTGCAGTCTTGTGCGTGTGTATATATATATATATATATATATATATATATATATATATATATATTCTCCTCTTCCTATATCTTTATAAGCCCGGGCGGAGGGAAAACCCATCACACACCCAAAAAAAACCGGACTCCAGGGACCTGGGGCCTTGGGGCCCTCCGGACGGGCCTCGAAGCGGCCACCGGGCCTCGCAAGGCGTTTTGCTAAGCTTTCCCAGCACACCTAGGGCGATCAGGGGGGTCATCGGAGACGTCCCAGAGACCCCCAAGACAGCACAAGAGCGCTCCAAGAGTGACCGAGACCGACGTGACCTCAAGATGGCCCAAGAGGCCTCCAGGACGGCCCCAAAGAGGCCTCCAAGAGCACTCCCAAGAAGGCCCCCCGAGGCAAAAATCATTGATTTTCTATGGTTTTTGGTGAATTTGGAGGTTCTCCTCTTTTCGGCTTCCCGACGCTCTAAGACGGCGGTCTTCTGGGCGTCCGAAGCCGCCTGGGAGGCTCCCAAATCGCCCCACAACCATCCGAAAGGGCTTCCAGGCAATCCAAGAGAGCCCCAAAACGGCACAACACGGGTCCAAGATGGCCCTCAAAGAGCCCCATGGCGGCCCAAGATGGCCCAAAGACACCCTCCGAAGAATTCCAAATCGTGTTTCGGTCGTTCAGGCAGACAGCGGTTGGAGGCAGGGTGGCCCGAGGAAGCCCCCGGACACCCAGAATACGACCAGGAGGCCTCCAGAAGGCGTTAAGAAAGCCTGAAACAACTTTTGCGAGGCCCCTGGATGCTCTCCAAGGAGGAGCCTCCGCAAAAAGAGCTGAGGAGGATGGGGAAAATGCGCAGGGTATGGCGAAAATGAGGAACAATAATCATGGAGGAAGGATAACGAATAACATCATTATAGCGGTGATGCCAGAAAAGGCAGTCAGGAGTTATCGCTAAATTGTCGGCTTGACCTTCCTGCCATTCCGCCTGTAGACCAAACTTCAAGGACCAAGATGCATGGCGCGAAGCGCCACTGCAGTCTTGTGTATCTATATATATATATATATATATATATATGGATGTATAAACAGATATGCAAACATACATACATACATACATACATACATACAGACAGACAGACAGACAGACAGACAGGCAGACAGACATGCATACAAACATACCTACCTGCCGACCTACCTACCTACCTACCTACATCCATCCATCCATCCATCCAGCCATCCATCCATGAATGCATGCATGCATGTATGCATGCATGCATGCATGCATACAGACAGACAGACAGACAGACAGACATGCATACAAACATACCTACCTACCTACCTACCTACCTACCTACCTACCTACCTACCTACATACATACATACATACATACATACAGACATACAGACATACATACAGACATACAGACATACAGGCATACGTACATACATAAATACATACATACAGACAGACAGACAGACTGACTGACTGACAGACAGACAGACATTACATACATAACATACATTACATATAGACCCTCCCACCCTAACAACACACAAAACAAACTATTCCCGAACCCGGCACCTCGAAACTCGCCCACCCTTCCTGCTGGTGGCTGGACCCTCTGACCTCAGATCGATGGGCTCCCTCACCGCATGGCGCCTCGGGGGGCGGGGCGAGGCGGATCCACCGCAGAGGCCCCCGCCCCCCAGAGGCCATTCCGCCCGGGGGAGCGCGCCGCGCGGGTTCGCCCCCGGAGGCGCGACAAGCCTGGCGCCCACAGGGGCGAGGGGGGCGGCGCGGCGCGACGAGCCCTGGGGCGCTCGGGAGGCACAGGTCGGAGCCAGGACGCGGCCACACGCACGAGCGGCCCCGGGCAAGGGTGGCCTCTGGCGCGCGGCTTTTTGGGGGGGCCCAAGGTGGCCAGATCCGAGCGGGCAAGCAGCCGCTATCGCATCGCGCCCCGCGATCGGGGGGGGCCCCGATGAGCCCGCACCAAAGGTCACTCTGGCGAAGGATCACTCTTACGACCCCTGCGTGCAGTCGAAGGACTGACTGCCGACAGCACCACCACAACCCAACCCCGAAAACCCAGATTTCGGGGGTGGGGAGTACGGGTACCACATGTGGTTCTGCACGGTTCCCGGGCGCTCCCCCCCCACCCCTGGGAAGGGAGGACACATTGGGGCATTCGGTTTGGGTTGGGGTGGTTTGGTGGGTAGTGGAGGACAGGGACAAGATCGGACAAGGGTAGATCGGGGATCTCTGAGATCCAGCGGTTCTGGAGGATGTAGCGGGCACCGCGGCCTCCTCAGGGCGTTCCGGAGCGCTCTGAGAGCGTCCCAGAGCGCCTTGGAACGATGCATCCCTGTCCTGGCCCCGCCCGAAGGCAGGAGGGGAGGGGCGAAGCGCAGAGAGGGGGGCCAGGCAGGAGGGGGCACGGCGAGGCAGGAGGAGGCGGGAGGAGGGGGCAGGCAGGAGGGGAGGGAGGGGGGAAGGAGGAGGCGAAAGGCGGAAGAAGGCGGGAGGAGAAGGGGTTACGAGGAGGAGGAGAAGGAAAATGGAGGAGGAGGAGGAGGAGGTGGAGGAGGAGGAGGAGGAGGAGGAGGATAGAGGAGGTGGAGGGGGAGGTGGAGGAGGTGGAGGAGGAGGGGGGTGAGAGGCAGCAGGAGGAGAAGAAGGAGGGTATGATGGTGATGATGATGATGTTGATGATGATGATGTTGATGATGATGATGATGATGTTGATGATGATGATGATGACGATGACGATGACGATGACGATGACGATGATGATGACGATGACGATGACGATGATGATGATGATGATGATGATGGTGATGCTGTCGGTGATGACGGAATTGATGATGATGATGCTGATGATGATGGTGATGATGATGATGCTGATGCTGATGCTGATGCTGATGATGATGCTGATGATGGTGATGATGCTGATGATGCTGATGGTGGTGGTAATGCTGAAGTTGATGCTGATGGTGATGGTAATGGTGATGGCGATGATGATAATAATGATGATGATTAATATTACGACGACAGCGACGACGACGATGCTGATGATGATGATGCTGATGGTGGTGGTAATGGTGATGACGATACGGTGATGATGATGACAATGATGAGAATGATGATGGTGAAGATGATGATGATGATGGTGATGGTGATTGTGATGATGATGGTGATGATGATGGTGGTGGTGGTGATTATGATGGTGATGGTGATGGTGATGATGATGATGACGATGCTGTTCGTGGTGATGGTGATGATGATGATGATGGTGTTTGTGATGGTGATGACGATGATGGTGATGTTTATGATGATGATGATGCTGATGATGGTGATGGTGATGGTGATGGTGATAGTGATGATGCTGATGATGATGACGATGTTGATGATGATGACGATGTTGATGGTGATTGCGATGATGATGATGATGGGGATGATGATGATAATGATGATGATGATGCTGATGATGGTGACGGTGATGATCGTGATGTTGATGATGATGGTGGTGATAGTGAAGGTGGTGGTCTTCATGGTGATGCTGGTAATGATGATGATGATGATGATGATGATGATGATGATGATGATAAAGCCGATTGTGATGATGATGCTGATGATGAGTATGATTAAGATTATGATGTTGATGATGACGAGAATGAGGACGATGTTTATGATGATGGTGATGATGCTGATGATGATGGTGATGATGATTATGCTGATGATGCTGATGATGATGTTGCTGCTGCTACTGATGATGATGAGGAGGAGGAAGAGGAGGGGGCAAGGAAAGAGCAAGGAGGAGGAGCCTACGAGACGGTCGCTCTGGCCCACCGCTGGACACGGTAACAAAACGCTCTAAGTCGCATGGAAAACTGCCGCGATCTTAGCCACAGCCCGTGCAGGAGAAGGAGGAGGAGGTGGTGGAGAAGGAGCAGATGCGTACAAAGATCTTCGATGAGATGATGTGTTCAGCCCACGCATTTTGTCACCGATTTCGGCCTCTGGGACCCGTCGTCGGGCCCTGAGGCCATCAAAAGTGGATCGGGAATGAAAAACTGCCTGCCCACGGGGGGGGCAGTCCGGACCTCTGGGGCCGCGCATCCAAAAAGAAATAAAGACATCGTCGGATGTCTGGGCACATAGGAGCTTCGAGTAGGGGATCGACTTCAGAATTGACTTACCCCAAAATTGATGTTGCAGTCGAAACTACGAAAGAATACGAAGACTGTTCCGTGATCTACGAGCATTCTACGTATTTGTTCATAGATGCGACGAGAAAACCAACTTTCGGGTAAATCAATTCTGTAGTCGAACCCCTACTCGAAAGCTACCCTTTACCACCTACCCCCAGGACGCCATCCTGGAGGGAGGCCAGAGGCACCAGCCCCGCGAGGACGGACCTGCCTCCGCCTCGGCCACACGCGAGAGGGACCCCTGGGCAAGAGCGACCTCAGGCGCGGGGTTTCAGCGGGCCGCGGGAAGGGAGGGGTGGAGAGAGGGGGGGGGGGGCAAGTTAGGTGCGCTCGCGTCAACATCTGACATCCTACCCCTCCCTCCCATCCCTTACCATGGCGCTGATTTTCTCAATCCGCGGACGCGGGGGGGGAAAGAGAGGGGGGGGGAATCCGAGCGCGTAGGCCAGTGCTCGGCGGCTGCAACAGGGGCAGACTGACCTGGGAGAAGGGGTCACTACAGGTATCCAAGGGCTCCACTCTGCCCATGCCTTCGACGAGGCTCCCCGGCGAATACGTGTCGGGCCTGTCCCTGAGCTGTCCACCCCCCTCGCGGGCCCGCACAAATGAGGGGCAACGCTAGGGGGGACCAGCTCAAAAAGGGCAACATCGAGCTTGAATCGACGTTACATCGCCGATAGATCGGGGATAGGCGCCTGTAGCGAAACGGCACGTTCCTGGACAGGCAGGGGTGGACTTTCGGGCCCCTGGGAGCCATCAATGGGCGATTGGGGGTCGATGCATCCCCCCCATGAGCCTATCCCCTCCTAAAATTGCCCCTGGAGGAGGGGGAGGTGTAGAGGAGGAGCAGGAGGAGGAGGATATCCCGACTTTCGCGAGGTAGCGCTTCTCGGGTAGTATGAGGAGGAGGAGGAGGAGGAGGAGGAGGAGGAGGAGGAGGAGGAGAAAGGAGGAGGAGGAGGAGGAGGAGGAAGGAGTAGGAGGAGGGAGGAGGAAGTGGAGGATGGTGGAGGAGGAAGTGGAGGAGGGCGGGGGAGGAAGTGGAGGGAGAACGAGGAGAAGAAGGCGGCGGCGGAGGAGGAGGAGGCCCGCACCGAGGGGCGCTCTGGCGCAGGGGCCCGCTCCTGCGCATGCCGGCGGGCAGCTCGGGACGAGGCGGCGGGCGCCCGCCTCCGCGGCGCAAAGGTGCGGGCACGCCTCGCCCCGCCCCGCACCCGCCTCAGTCCTCGTAGTGGTCCGGCGTGGCCTCCCGGAGGGCGCGCTCCAGCGCCTCCGGGCCGCCGTGCGCCGCGGCGCACAGCGCCACCATGGCGCCGAGGTGCGCTGGCCTCCCGGGCGCTGGAGGCGGGTTGGTGTTCTCCAGAGTCTGGCACCTTGCTGCCCCGATACGCAGCACGCAGCACGTAGCGTATTGCTGCGGAGCTCAACACGTAGACTGAACACGTACGTTTTGAGCACGGACGGTTTGAACATGGCACGTGTTGCGCTTCAAAACGTGCGTATCAGAGCAGCTAAGGTCTGGCAAGCTTACTTGCAGACCCCCTCGCGTCGTAGGGGAAAGCACGGCGGGAGGGTTTTCGCCTTTTTCGGCCACTGGGGGCCCTCACTGGGCCTCGGGGCCGTCAGAAAACGACCCAAGATGAAAAACCAGTCCCGGGGAATGGGTCGAGACCTCTGGGGGTCAAGGATATTGAAAAAGCATGTTTACTTGCGTGGAGGGGGAGGGAGGCCGTGGCGAGGCCTGAAACGAAACCTGACCCTCACGCAAGTCGGGACTCGCTTGCACGCCTCTTCGGCCCAGCGCTGCTTGACACGGCGGCGGAGGGGTACGGGGAGGGGAGGGGAGGGTGAGGGGAGGAGGGGGGAGGGGGAGGGGGGGGGAGGAGGAGGAGGAGGAGGAGGAGGAGGAGGAGGAGGAGGAGGAGGAGGAGGAGGAGGAGGAGGAGGAAGAAGAAGAGCCCCCCCAAAAAACGACCCAGACGTCCAAAAACCGGGACTCGACTAAAGCGTTGTGTTGGCAATAGTTGCGCTTCTGTGTGGTCTTCACTCGAGGGCCCGCCACGGGCCGATCACGAATTCGGCTTTGCGTCGAAGCGCTGCTTTGGGCAATCGGTCGGACCGCTTCCATTTTGGAAGCGCCTCCGAACGAAAACGAACCGAAGACGCAGCGCACTGTTTTGGTCAAGCTCTGCCAAGATCCCACTGGCCCTTCAGGGCGTGAGTGGTCTAGAGCGCTTCCTCTTCCAACCCCTCTCTTCCCCTTCGGGGAGGGGTTATAACTGGTCTCTATTAACAAACACCCTCTCCCACAGGCGACCGGCAGCCAACCAGGAACAATGAAACCTCCCCCACCATCCCTGACAAAAATAATCATACAAAATACACTGTGGGGCAAAATCTTGGATCATGCTCGTGGGCTCCGCGAGCACTTTGCATTGTTTTTGACAGGGACGGCGGGGTTATGAGATTGCCTGCTGTGCGCAAGGCCACCATCCCTTACCAAAAAACAACACCCAATACACTTCGCGTCTAAATCTGGATCATGCGCGGCCACCCCGCGATCATTATCCATTGGCTTTTGGTAAAGACGGCAGGGGTGCTGACATATTGCCTGCTGTGCGTAGGCAGACCAGACACCATGGTCGCCTCCCCGCCGCGATTGCGCATTGGCTTTCGACACGGATTGTGGGGGCCAACATGTTTCCCGATGTGTGCTGTCACGTGCGCGGGTGCACCTGGCACACTCTGCGCGTGCCCGAACGCGGCGCACCTGGCGCGGCTGGACCATTCGGCACACATGTCGCACGTGGAGCACGTGGCGCATCCGCATCTGGCGCGCCAGGCGGGCCTGGCACGCTTGGGCCCCTGGCGCACCAGGCGCGCGTGGCGCGCCAGGCACGCGTGGCGCACCTCGCCCCAGCGTCGCGCAGAAGGGGACGGCGTTGCTTTCCGGTAGCTGTCTATCCATAGACGACCGCTGAACATGCTGAGGCTTGGGTGCTACCTATCTGTTGGGAAGGCGGGCGGGAGTGAGCGAGACAGCTTGCGGGCGGTGAGGGTGTCATGACCCCTCCCCTGGATCTTGAAGGGGGGGGGTCGCGACTGGATAGAGCGTCCAAGGTGGCCAGGGCGAGAAGGCAGAAGTCACTGACTTGACTGAGCTTTTGACACATGTTGGCCTCCTGGGGGGGGATTGACAAGCCCCCTTCTTTGATCGATCTCGTCCAAGATGGCCCCAAGATGGCCTCCGAGGCTTCTAAGAGTGCCCCAAGGGGGTCCCAAGAGGCGCCCAGGAGGCCCCAAGAGGGCCCAAGAGGTCTCCAAGAGGCTCCCAAGAGAACCCCAAGAGGCCCCAGGAGGCTCCCCTGAGGCACCCAGCACGCTTCAAGAGCCCCCCAGGACCGCCAAGATGAGGCCCCCAAGGGGCGCCAAGAGGACTCCAAAAACTTTCAAGAGACATCCGAAGAGACTCCGAGAGGCATACAAGAGGCTTCTGGCCATTCTGCTCACCTCCTTATCCTCCTCCTCCTCCTCCTCCTTCTCCTCCTCCTCCTCCTCCTCCTCCTCCTCCTCCTCCTCCTCATCATCATCATCATCATCATCATCATCATCATCATCATCATCATCATCATCATCATCATCATCATCATCATCATCATCATCATCATCATCATCATCATCATCATCATCATCATCATCATCATCATCATCATCATCATCATATCATCATTTTCCTCCTCCTCCTCCCTCCTCCTCCTCCTCCTCCTCCGCCTCCTCCGCCTCCTCCTCCTCTGCCTGTTCCTCCTCGTCCTCCCCCTTTCCCACTCTTCCTTCCCCTCCCCCTCCCCCCCCTCCCCCTGCCCCCTCCGCCTCCTCCTCCTCCTCACGCCTCCTTCTACTCCTCCTCCGCCTCCTCCTCCTCCTCCGCCTCCTCCTCCTCCTCCTCCTCCTCCTCCTCCTCCTCCTCCTCTGCGACGACGACGACGACGATTCCTCCTCCATCCTCCCCCTCGTGGGGCAGGGCCTACGGCGGCTTCCCCAGCCCGTCAGTCCACCGCATGCTCCTACACATCCCCGATCAGGGCAACTCGCCCGGGCATTGTTTCTGGGGCATTGTTTCTGAGAAGACCTCCCCGAGCTTCGATCCTGGAACCTCGATCCTGAGGAGGCAACGGTGACCACCCCGGTGGTGACCTGGCCCCCCCTCGGCACTCCCTCGGATCTGACGCTGCCAAAAAAAAGCCGCTGCATTGCAACAGAATCACCACTCGAGCCCTAAACCCGACCCCTCTGCCTCGCCCGTCGAAGCGGATCGATGCGTGCAGGCCCCGGGGCCCGAGGCCAGGGCGAGGACGCCCAGTGTGGAGAAGCTGCGACGCCAGGACGCTCGGGGCCGCCCGAGCCTCTCGGGCAGCGGCGGGAGGAGGGCGTGCGGCGCGCCGGGCTCCCCGAGGCACTCCGGGGCGAGGAGGCCCACCTGCGCCACGAGAATATACTGACAACCTACCAGACCACCCCAACCCAACTCGAAGACCCGAATTTGACCCGAATTTCGGGTTGGGGGGGTACGGGTTCCATGTGTTTTTTCAACGTTCCCCGACCCCCCCACACTGGAAATGGAGGGCAAATCGAGGCCTTCGGGTTGGGTTGGGGTGGTCTGGTAGGTGGTGATATACACACGGACACCCTCGGACGAACGGTGCAGTGTGCCTTCAGAGAGGGCGTCGGCGCACCAAGTCGCTGGCTCCCAGTGGTGATTCGTACACCGCCACGCTCCCCCAGGAGGCCCAGGAACTCAGCTGCCCCGATGCGCAACACGCAACACGCAGCGTGGACGGATCTCAACACGCAGACTGAAAGCGTAGGTCTGACGCAATACGTTCGCCCAAACGTGGGCCACGACGCCGAGCCAATACGCAGCGTGTTCACGCGGACGTTCTGGACACGGCACGTGCTGCGCCCCAAGACGGGCGCACCGAGACAGCCGAGACTGCAGGGTGTCTGTGTGTACCTTTCGGTGGCGGACCATCTGCGCCAGGGGCGGGGTGCTCGCGAGGCCATCCTGCGGCCGCGCGCTCGGCAGGGAGCGGCCCTGGGCCGACGAACAGAAACCTCTGCCGCGCGGCGCGCCGTGTGCGCCGAGTGCGGTGTACGGTGCGGCGGCGGCCTGCTTGCCTGGGCGCGCTCCCCCCTCGCGCGCGGCCTGACCGACCACTGGCAAGCCATGAAGACGAAGCCAGGACGAGGATATAGGCTCGGGTGGGGGTAGATGGGTAATCCATGAGATGCGGCGGCTCTGGAGGATGTATCGGGCGCCGCGGCCTTCGCAGAGCGTCCTGGAACGCTCTGAGAGCTTTATGGAACGCTCTGGAACGGATTTATCCTCGTCCTAGACCCGTCCGACCATCCCCTTACGTGACGTCACCCTCGCCTTTCCAGCTTCCCTCCAGCCGCATGCATGCGTCTTGGGGCGAGAAGGGCCTTTAAAGCTTCCCTCCGGCCGCATACTTACGTCTTGGGGCGCGACGTCGCCCTCGCCCTTCAAGCTTCCCTCGGGCCGCATACACGCCTGTCAGGGCGAGGCGAGGGGGACGTCACGGAAGGGCATGGCTTGCCAGGGGTCGGTCAGGCCGCCCCTGCCCCGACCCCGAGGCCCTGGCGTTGCAACTCTTCCGCAGCGGGCGCTCCCGCCAGGCTTCGAAGGCCCCCAGCGGCCCCCCCACGGATCGATGCGGCTCCAAAGAGTGGTGCAGAGAGGGCAGGGCGGGCGAGCCGGGCGGGTGCGGCGGAAGGGCGGGTCGGTCAGGTGGGTTGGGCGGAAGACGTCCGTCGTCGTCGCCGTCGTCGTCGTCGTCGTCGTCGTCGTCGCCGTCGTCGTGGTCGTCGTTGTCGTCGTCGTCGTCGCCGTCGTCGTCGTCGTCGTCGTCCAGGGCTCTGGTCCTGATTTTTCGCGTTGCTGCATCTTCTTGGCAACGTCAGATCTGAGGGCGCCTCCCCTTCCAGCGGCCCTCCGAGGGCCGCACACCGCAGGGCACGCTGGCGGAGGGCCACCCCTGCCCTTTGAGGTCCAAGGCCGCGGAAAAATGGCAGCACCGGGAAGAACTGGCGGGAGCCCCAGACCCCACCTTTCGTGCTGCAGCTTCCGAGCCGGCCCCATCCGGGCTGGCCCCGGGGGCCCGCAGCCGGGCGAAATTCGCCCTGTGCGAGAGAAGACGACAACGCCCAGGCCTCAGAGCTGCGTGCCGCGCGGCTCCCCCGCGAAGGGCTGCAGGCAGGGGGGGCCCCGGTCCGGGGTGGGGCCCTGCCGGCGGGGCCCCAAGTCCCAGTCCTTGGGGTTCCACGCGAGGCACCGCTGCCAGGGCTGGCTGGGGCACGGCGAGACCACGCCGACGTCTGGCGGCGGTCGGGGCTCCGGGCTCCTGAGGGGCAACGTCAGGGGGGGGGCCAGCTCGGGGGGGGAAACATCGAGCTTGAGTCGGCGGTGCATCGCCGATACACAGGCGATAGGCCTCCCGTGGCGAAACCGCACGCTCTTGGGCGGGGTGGGCTCGAGGACCCCGATCGGCAATCGATGGGCGATTGGGGATCGATGCAGCCCCCCCCCCGCCGAGCCTACGAGAGGTTCGCACGGCGTCGGCGCGCACAAAGGTTTTTGTCACCGCGTCTATCGTTCAACCTTGAACCGATCGCGTACCCGATTGCTCAAGCGGGTCCTGAGGCACTCCCGCGCCCCTCGGTGCTTCCGCGTCGCTCCACCATGCGGAGTTCAACCTTGAACGCATTCGCCGGCGTCGCCGGCGCTGCAAAGCAGCACGAACCCACCGTACACGTCGGTCGGAAGAAGTAGGTAAAAGCACGAAGCAGGAAGGCGGATAGAGTAGATTGGGTTCGGGCCCGCCCAGAGAGCATCAAAACGCAGCAAAAGCAGCTCGATGCTTGAAGTAGGAAGGCGTTTGAAGTAGATTGGGACCTGGGAGTCCAGCAATACCTACTCTGGATGGCAATAATCGCCCCCCCTTCGATCCGCTGTGCGCGGGGGGGGGGGGGGGCACGCGCTGTCGGAACGGGTGGAGGGGGAGGGGGGGGAGGAGGAGGAGGAGTTTTTTTTTCCACCGCAGGCGCACACACCAAATCCATGTGTCATATCCGCACTAAACATCTCAATGCGATGGGGCCGCGCAGCCAACATGCAAGGAGGGGGGGGGCAGCAGCAGAGGCAGGCAAAGAGAAGCGGCGGCGGGCACTCTGCTCCGAGTGCACATGATCCCTGGCGGGCGCGCCCCCCCAGGCACACAGAACAAAAGGGGATCAACACTCGAGCGTCCGTTCCATGCCACACTCACTCCACGGCTGACCGAGGGCCCAACCAACACCGCAGCAAGCAAGAGCAGACAAAAGGGGCACGCCCCAAAAACGAGAAACCAACACAGAGAGGGAGGGAATACCTGATGGCAGGCCGCCACAGTGCCTCGAACATCGTCGGGGACCTGAGGGCGAGCGGGGAACACTCCCTCGCTCCCTCGCGCGGGGCGGCAGCCGGGGTGCCTCGAACTTCGTCGGGAACCTGAGGGCGGAGGCGGGGCGCAGAAGAGGAGAACGACCTCCTCCGCGCCAGACGCAACGGGTGTCTGGAGGCGCCACGGCTTGGCGTCGCGGGAAGGCCACCCTACCCTACCGAAGCAGCGAACGACCCACGGCCAAACGAACCAGACCGCCCGCCCGTCGGGGAACCTGTAGATCACGGACACCAGGAGAGAAGCACAGGCAAGGCGGCTGAGAGAGGCGGGGGGGCGGCGCGGCAAGAGAGGCACACTCTCCCGCGCACCGTCCAGTCTTCACCTGCAGGCGGAGGGGTCACAGAGAGCACTGACAGGCTCTCACAACCCAGGCTACAACACGGGGCCCTGAATTAACCTGAAGAATCAATGCAGAAACGGCACAACAGAAAGTAAACCTCGGAAAACCAGCCAGCCAACCCGAGAGACCCACCAGGGTCCCATCACACTCTGGCAGCATCATGCATGGACCTAAATCTAGAGGGGCCACAGGGAAAAGGGGGGAACAAAAAGAAGAGGGACACGGCAACTCAGGAGAGGGGGAGGCACGGCAGGAGGAGCAGGGGAGGCAGGGGGAAGGGCGGCAGCAGCAGCAGGCGCCCGCAGTGCACGTAGGGCCTCGTTAAGCCTGGGGTGCCGACGGGACAACTGCCGAAGCCTGGCTTCAATCAGGAAGTCCCCTGGCTGGACCGAACCAGTCCTGCGAGCATTGTGCGCTGCCAAAAAACAATATATTAAGGCGCACCCCACTAGGTCCCGTGACCGCCCCCACTGTGGCCCCAGACAACAGAGCGCGAGGAGCCAGTCCTCACCCGTGAGAGCCGCGGCCCAGGTCCTCAGAAGTCCACCACGGGGGAATATGTCAGTCAACCCAGCCTTCAACTTGGGGCACACGCGATAATGCCTCAGATCGTCATTGGCCACATCCAGAGGACACCCAAAGGCACAGCCCACCACCGTAGTATGCAGACGACTAGAGGTGCATACTCCTCGGCAGAGCACTCTAAGGACCCCCGTGACGAGGTGCATCGTGCTGTCCTTCTCCACTTTACGCATCCTCTGGGCAAGCACCTGAAGTCAGCAACAGTAAAACGGTCGGGGCCCACCCACTTGGACACCCTCTGCACCATGGTGCGGAGGGGAACAGTGGGGTCACGGAGCCCTCTGAGCTTGCGCATAGCTTTCTTCTGAAGGGATTTCTTGGGGATGGGTCCCAGGGTCGGGATCGAGAAATTGCCTACTTCATTCACCGTCGTCCTGATCCAGGAAGACTTCCACCAGGGCCAGCTGAGTCGAGCAGGAATGAAGTTATCGTCATCCAGGGAAACCGTCAAGGACTCCATCTCATACTGGGCAGCATCAATACTGGAGCAGGACATCAACACCCGAAACTTGATAGCCTTCGAAAAACAATCGATGTCCAGGCACTCTAGAGAGGCTCCCAGCGCACGCAAGCCCGTCAGCATCTCTCTCGAGAAGGCATGGCGGGGACCAGCAGTGATCACCTGAAGGGCCTCATTATACGCTTTCCGAAGAGCCGTAGTCACAGGACAGAGTTGTAGCTGGTACGCCAATATCGACATGCAGTGCGAGTGAAAAAATACGAATAGTCTGAGGAAGTCCTAGCCCAAGCCCACGGAGCCTCCGAACCGTCATCCAGAACTTGGGAATGATATTGCTCCATACTTTATCCAAAGCGCCAGGCCCAAGCCAAAATCCCAGGTACAAAACAACGCGAACAAACCCAATGCGATGATACCCACTCCCCTTGGCTCGAAGGTGGGCAACTAATCTCTCAGGGTCAAGCGAGCCAATCACCAACACCTTACATTTAGGAATGTTCAACCCCAGTCCTACCGCATGTCCCCACTTACGGAGGAGTGAAAGCGTCGGCTGAAGGTCCGGCAGGATGTTGGGAAGGCAGAACGGGAATTCATCAGCGCATGCTCTAATTCGGGGGACCTGGCCAGTGAGCCTGGACCTCATCCAGCGCAATACTGGGTCCAGCGCATAAGCGAAGAGTAGCATCGACGCAGGATCGCCCTGTCGCACACCACGTTCCACCGAAAACTCGATACCAGTAGTCCCAGGGAAGTTGATAACCGCCACATTGTCACGGTACAGCTCACGATAAAAACCACAGAGGGGAACGCAGCCTTAAAGCCCGTGAAGAGAATTCCCGAGCGATCCCCACCAGTAAGCATCTCACGAAGACCCCACCATTCAATCTCAACCACGTTGTCAAGGAGCCCACGTCGCGCGACCCCCCCATCGCTGGATCGTGTCGATCACGGTCGGAGCAGCCCGCTGGAGGCCGATGGAGAACGCGTCACCCAGGAGCTTCGCATCGGTGTTCGCAAGTGTGGGAGGTCGAGTCTTATCAGGTGACCGAACAAGGGCCGCGGGGTTCTCGTCGTCTTTGAGGTCTTTGGGCAGAAAACACATCCTTCCACGACGCATGCACGCAGAGACCGTACCCCCCGACGCCTGATACATCTCCTCATAAACAGCAAAAAGAACTTCGCCCCCCCCCCCCCCCAGCTTTCCAGCACCCATGCGGAATGCCATCCTCCCCAGGAGCAGAGTGATGCTTGAATTGGGCCCGCTCTATGAAACCGTCGACCTCCAACTTCCACTGCGAAGAGTCCAACTGGATCGGCTGGGCATGGGCGAGGATTTCAGGCCAAAGGGTCCGATCAGGTTCCTTGGCGGCAAAAATCGCTTGCCAATGGTCCCGAAGGGCCTCAACAGAGGCCGTCGGGGAAGGGCAAACCTGCCCTGAGCTGTCCAGGATTCCAGAGAGCCCGTATCGCCGACGCATCTTGGACCACGCTCGGCGAAGGTGTTGCAAACGTGCCATTGCCGTAGCCTTAGACTTCTCGTCTTCCTCCCATCCGTCCATCGCCCGCGCCTCCGACTCATGCCAAGCATCCTTCAGAGACTGCGCCAAAGCACCCGAGCCTGCTATATCCACGCATCTCTCATGGTCAGGATCGAAGTACTGAAGCAACCGCGGATGCGCACGGATCGCGCGCACGCGCTGGTCGAACCTGCACATGCGCCACCCACGGAAGGCCATCGTAGCAAAGTGGAGCTTCTGACAATTCTCTTTCGGAGGCTTCATCCGAAGCCGAGCCTTGAACTGAGGGGCCATCTGCCAGAAAATCTCCTTCACCCGAGCCAATTTCTCCCGAGGGGTCAGATCCTGGTCGATTTCCATAATAGCGTTGGCACACAACTCATGGTAAACACAATGACGGGGAATCCATTTAGGAATCTGGGTGGGTAACGCTGATGGCATTCTGAGAGCGGCAGTGGCAACGACGGGGATATGGTCGGGCGAGGCAAATGTCTTCACTGCATGTCCCAAGGTATTAACTGTCACAGCTAAGTCATGCAGAACGGGGGCAGAGAGGGAAGTGTAGATGCGGTCCAGGCGGGCAACCCCACGAACTTCTCCCTGGAACACATCCCGCCGTGTCGGATCAGGTTGGAAAAGCTCCGCCCAGGACCCACAGATAGACTGAACTACATCGGTGTGCTCCCTATCTCCTGGTAGTCACGTGCCATCAGTACGGGGCCGCCCCTCCTCCACCTCCATAAAGTTCCAATCCCCTGCAATCAAGCACATGGAGTGCGCAGCCAAAGGAAGGAACGCCTGAATCACACAAAGGTATCTGCGATACATCGCGACATGATCCGAGGTGTTCGGCATGTGTACATTGACAACCACTAAGTCCCAACGACATCCTTTCAGGTGCATGGCGAGAACTCGGCCAGCAATCAACGGGAACGAAGAAATCGATTCGAACTGCGAAGCCAGCTTACTCGAGATAACAGTAACCACACCACCCCCAGCTCTCGGATCGATCATCGAATGGTGGATAACTGCATTACGGCAACGGTCATCCCGCTGTAACATCCCCACATCCGACACTGTGCCATGAGTCCCCTGTAAACACACAGCGTCGAACCTGCCGACAAGACCATGCATCTGCTTGTACCGCTGAGCTGCCAATGGAGACGACGTAGAGCACGAAGAGAGGAGAGCACGTGTATTCCAAGAGCACAGGGCAAGCGCAGAGGAGGGGGCGAACACCCCATTCGCTCCAGAAGACGGGCCACCAGGGGTAAAAGGTCCGCCTGAATTCAAATTAAAACACGGGTTGGCTGGCTGAGCACAGTCCTGGCTAGTCGGAACACGGGTCCGATGGTTTCCCCCGACAGGCCCCGCATCCCAGGGGGGGGCCCGAACCACCAGGGACCCGACAAAAATCGCCAGGCAGCGCACTGGGAGTCCCGAGGCAGGGTGCGCCAGAACAACTGTGGGCCTCACACAAAGGGCCGAATCTGATCAAAAAGAGTTGCAATACAGCCTGCATGATCGCCTACTCCGAAGGTTCCGAGGGCCTCAGGAATCAGAACAAGTTCAGGGCGACCACACTCACGGACCGTGACCTTCGCCAGAATCACTGGGTGAGTCGCCGTAATGAGGCCGTATATTTGACCGCCGAGACCATTGCTGCCCACCTGGAAACCTTTCTCCCCCAGGACCTTCCCGATGATAGCACGAGTCTGCCCGAGGTAGTAGAACAACTTACGGCTAGCGGGGGGGCAAGTCCCGACGCACACGGAGCTCCCATCCCTGGTTATCAATCGGGTTCTGGTACACAGTCTTACCAATAGTCTGGCTCTCCCCAAAGAACGCCGTGCATGACAGAGTGCTGTGGAAGTCAAGAATCACCTTCCTCGTGAGAGAGTATGCTCGAACAATCGGCTCCTCACCTGCTGGACTGCACGCGGCGACAATAGGGGCCACCGCTTCCTTGAGAGACGCCTCCAGAAGGGGTTTTTCAAATCCAAGGACGACAAGACGGGTAGCACTGGCTTGGTCAGGCCCCGACGTACGCATCATCTTCCGACGCCCTCCTTCCCCTTCTCCTCCCACGAGCTCGAACTCCGAGTCGGCACGAGTCGACGAACATGCTGAGAGCTTCTGCTGTAGTTCCTGCATATGACCTTCGATCTTTGTCACTGCTGCAGCAAGCTTCGCATCTGTGTCAACCGAGACCTGGTGGATCGCTGCGTCCTGGGATTTCTTAATCTCTGCCCAACGAGCCTCCGACCGACGATTCAACTCCGCGAACTCTTCCTGCATACGATCGAAGTTGGACCCCATCACTGTCATCTGCTTACTGAACATGTCAAAGTTCTCGGCATGCGAGGAGAATCCTTCCTTCACTAACTTCGTCAACGCGTAGATCTGCGCTGACACACCGCTCTGTACCTCGGGCGAAGCGGGTGGCACACCTCCTCCTCCCGCCCCCACAGGGGCAAAAGATGGTGAACGCTCTGGAGAGCCGCACATGGAGCCCGTCGTGCGAGCGCCCTCGGCCATGGCTGGAGGAGGGGACAGGAAGGCCGGCCGCAGGCGCAGGCGCGCGGGCCGAGAGGGAGGGAAACAGGGAGACCCGCGGCGCGGGTCGGGGAGAGCCAGGCCACGCGGGTCGCGCAGACCACCCTGAGCCGATACGGCTTGAGCCAAAATGGCTACGGAAAGGAGGAGGAGGAGGAGGAGGAGGAGGAGGGAGGAGGAGGGAGGAGGAGGGAGGAGGAGGAGGAGGAGAAGAAGGAGGAGGAGGGGGAGGAGGAGGAAAAGGAGGAGGTGGAGGAGGGGGGGGGATGGGCAAGCTCCGGTTGAAGGTTGTCGGAAGGTTAGTCGCCCACTCCTCGATTACTATCCCATCCAGAGCACTTTCAACGACCGGCGTGCAACGCTGCCCATGAGCTCCAGGGCAGGCCGCTCTGGATCTCGAGGTTGCTTAGGGCGCGCTTCGCCTCGAGGCGAAAGCCCTCCCCCTCCAGGAACCTTCGGCGACCCTCAGGAAGCGTGCGCTCCCGTCAAAGCCTGTCATGAGGACGCGCCGCAAGGACGCAAGACTTACCAGCCTGGAACATATCCTTATCCGTATGTTGGGCATCGCCTCATCACGATGGCGATCTTAGGGATTCCCTCAGTTTCTGAGGGTGCATCCCTGAGATTGTCATCGCCTCTTGGCGTGTCAATCTTAGGGATAGGGATAAGTTCGAGGCTGGTGAAAGACCCTTGGACGGTCCTTGGACACCCCAGTGTTGAGGCTTCTCTAGCGGCGCACTGCCGAACACGTCTGAGGACGCAGGGGTGCCCTTGGGGAGCCGAGCCGTCCTGACCATGGATTTTCACTGCAGCGCCAACGTGTGCTTGTCCACCGAGGCCCTTGAATGCGCCGCAGGCGGCGCAGTGAGTTGGCGGCGCGCACAAGGGGGTAGGGGGAGGGGGGAAGGCGTCTTGGAAGGAGGCTGCTGCTCAGAAGGCGCCGGCCTTACAGCTACGGGGAAGGCCCGCGCCTTCCGAGAAGCGGCCTTCTGAGAAGCCGCTCCCCCTCCCCCATACGCCCCCCCTGTGCGTGGCCGAAGCGTGTGTTCGTCCACCGAGGCCACTTCAATGCGACGCAGGCGGTGCAATGAGGGCCAGCACAGACTGCGTACCATCGGTCGAGCCGAACGGGGTAACACACACACACACACACTCTGGGCTAGCACACGTCCCGAAGATCATCGAACCTGGAGAACTGGCCGCCCAGCAGCGAATCCACGGCGTCGGGCTCGCAGAAGACGACGTAGCCGAAGCCCCGGTGTTGCTTGCGCTGCTTGTCGCCGCGGTGCCTCTGGAGCCACACGCGCTCCACAGGTGCGTGCTCCGCGAAGAGCCCTTGCAGCTCGCCCTCGTTCATCTCCTGGGCGCAAGCCCTGAAATCTGACGCTGGGGGAAAGACATCGCGAAAAATCACGACAGGAGCCCTAGACTCCATCTATCTGCGGCATTGCTCGAGCCAAATCGATATGTGAGGGTCCCAGGGCCCGAAACTGGGGGAAAACCCCCGACGTGACAAAACTAGAACGCCCGGATCTGAAGGATTTTGCTGCCCGAAGACCCTTCCCTCTCCTGGGGCACGCCGCCGACAAAGAGCTTGCGGACCTTGCAGGACTGAGCTGGATCGAATCGCGAAACCGGATCGGATCGGAAACGGATCGGATCGCCAGTGAATCGTTCCGAACCGAATCGAGATCGGATCGCGCAGCCTGGCTCCGGCTGGCCCTGGCCGATGCTGGTAAATCGAACCAGATCGGATCGAATCGGAATCGCGGCCGCTGTTGATGATGTTGGGTTGGTGATGTTGATGATGTCGAGGATGATGATTGTGATGACGACGACAACGATGATGATGATGATGATGATGATGATGATGATGGTGATGATGATGATAATGGCGATGGTGATGACGACGACGACGACGACGACGACGACGACAACGACGACGACGATGATGATGATGATAGTGATGGTGATAGTGATGGTGATGGTGATGCTGATGATGATGACGATGATCATGATGATGATGATGCTGATTGTGGTGGTGATGATAGTGCTGGTGATGATGATGATGATGATGATGATGATGATGATGATGATGATGATGATGATGATGATGATGGTGGTGGTGGTGGTGGTGGTGATGTTGTTGGTGATGCTGATGATGTTAATGGTGATGGCGATGATGCTGATGCTGATGCTGATGCTGACGCTGATGCTGATGATGCTGATGCTGATGCTGATCATGCTGCTGATGATGCTGCTGATGATGATGCTGATGATGATGATGCTGATGATGATGCTGATGATGATGCTGATGATGATGTTGCTGCTGCTGCTGCTGCTGCTGCTGATGATGATGATGATGATGATGATGATGATGATGATGATCACACTCTCCCCAGGCCCAGGTCATTCTCGGATGAGCAGCTCGCACAAAACCCTTCGTCTTGGCAACTGCACGGGCGCGGACGAGGATGATGACGACGGCGAGTCGCATCGCATCGAATCGCATCACAGGCGGCCCTGCCTGGCGCGACAGAGGCCTCTGCCGGTTGGCGCCCTGCGCCGCCGCAGGCGCCAGCGCCCCCGCGCCCTCGCGCGGCACGCCCTCGCGCGGCGCGCCGCAGAAGGCAAAGGCGCCCGGCGGCTCCGGCGTGGACCCCGCGGTGGTGCTCTCGGAGCCCGCGTCGCCACGGCTCGCCTCGGCCAGGCACGACGATGACGACGACGGCGACGACGGCGCCCACGGCGACGACGACGACGACGACGACGGCGTCGACGACGACGACGACGACGACGACGACGACGACGACGACGACGACGACGACGACGACGACGGCGCCGATAGTGGCGACGATGACGACGCCGACGGCAGCGCCGACAACGACGACGACGACGACGACGACGACGACGACGGCGACGGCGGCGACGGTGGCGGCGGCGGCGACGGCGACGCTGACGCCGACGGCGGCGGCGGCAACGACGGCGGCGACGATGGCGGCGGCGACGGCGACCACGGCGGCGACCACGACCAAGACGACGACGATCGCCTCGCAGAGCACCGCGCAGGCGCCGCGGAGCACCGCGCAGGGACGCGGGGCCTCGGCATGCATCCTTCGCGCGGCGGGCGGCGTGCAGGGCGCCTGGGCGATGCCCCCTCCCTGCTGGTGCTCTTCTCCGTTCTCCGTCCGCACCTCCTCGCCTCCTCCTCCTCCTCCTCCTCCTCCTCCTCCTCCTCCTGTTCCTCCTCCTCCTCTACC